CGTCGTCATCCTCTTTCCGAGACCCTGAACGTGAGCGTGCTGCCGGCGGCGGCCCCTCCGTCCGCGTGGTGCCGTGCCCCGGGCCTGTGTGTGGGCGTCCTTCCTTGGCGGCGTTTTAGCGTTGCGGACGAGGATGGCGAGGGAGGACGGCCCGCAGTTCGTGCGGTGGAGGGAGGAGTTCGTGTCGCAGGAGCGCGGCAGCCGCGTCGTGCACTACTACCTCGAAGACGCGGCCGGCGTGTCGCATCTCGCCGTCGTCGGCACCGAGAGGAGCCTGCGCCACATGCTCTACGTGGTCTCGGAGGACTTCAGCGCCGCGTGGGGGTGTGGCGGCGGCGCTGACGACGGCGGTGCGCCGCCCGTGTTTGCGCGCAAGTGGCGGTCACGCCGTGAGGTGGTGGATTGGCTCGCGTCCTTCCTTCCGGTGAAGGCACTTGACTCAAGTAATTATTACCGCTCTCATCTGTTTCGTTTCACCACTCACTTTTTTTATAACCCATCTCTCTTGTTTGTTTACATCTTATTTATGTTTATGGTCTTTGGAACCTAAATTCTGCTCTGAAAGCCAAAACGCTGAAATTATGCTCTAAAACCATGACTGCAGCCTAGTGAAATCTGTAAACTCTGAGGTAGCTGGTTTCCCTTCACTCTTTCTTGAAGAAGCATTTGAGTAATTGAGTGTGACAAGCAGTCAAGCACTATACAACCAATTTATGCCTTTCTTAAAGGCTTCTCAAACACATTGAAAAACTTTCACTCATCTTATATACATTTTACCACGAAAGAGAAGTGGAAGAAGGTCGACCTGCTAAGAAACCTGCAGAGGGATGCCCAAAGACCATGGATGCCCTCCAATAACCATCCTATTGATCCCTCTACGCACCTCACCCAACACATACACATGCCGCCACGGAGCCGCCACCACCACCACAATGACAACAACACACACACCCTTTGCATGCTGGCAAAAAATTTGGGCTTTATTTGTAATTGTAATAATTTCATTAATTTGTTGCCTGTTCCAGAATTCTCAAAATACGGATCTTTTGCGGATAATGACAGTGGGTTAGATGGATACGGGGAAACAAATAGCTTTTTGCACCAAAATCTGGTAAGTCATCACTTGTAACATGTAAATTTGTGTAGTTTGGTTCCATATACATCACGAGCTCAATGTTTTTTTTCTTGTTATCCTTCTTAGGGGAAAGACTGCAGCTCAGACATTACATGGTCTGGTTCGTTCTGGACATGTGGCAAACAGCTTCGGCACTATCGAGCTTTTTGTCGCAACGGAACCACAATATCCGTAAGTTCCGTCATGATATTGTGCATATACTCAAGAGTCATTTATAGAATATCTTATGGCATCTTGTTTTGCAGACCCACACTTTTGTGCTGGTCTTGTCAGAGGAAGAAAATCGCTATCTTGCATACTTGGAAGACATGTATGAAGATAAGAAGGGACAGAAGAAGATCAAAGTGCGATGGTTTCATCAAAACCAGGAATTCGCTTGTGCTATACCTCCTCCTCCTCCTCATCCTTGCGAAGTTTTCATCACTCCTTTTACACAAGTAATCAGTGTGGAATGTGTTGATGATATCGCAACTGTTTTAACTCCCGATCATTATGAAAAGTGCTCCAATGCAATGCCAACTTCTTCTTCTTTGGCCGGGATCCGTTTCTGCTTTCGCCAGTATAGTAAAAATAAATTCAAGCATTTTGATTTAAGATCACTGCGTGGATATTTTAGTCAAGCTGTTGTTCTGTCCTTGAAAATTCCAGCTGAGTCAGAAAAGGATGGTGAATATTGTACACCTGGGAAAACTAAGTTTCCGAAGCAGTTAGAGAGGCTTTATTCAAAATGTTTGGGCACCAAAATTTGTCGAAGCCCACAGGCAGACTCCATACCGTCTTATCAGATATTAAATAACGAGCAACCTCCTCGGAAGCATCTCTCGATGAAGTTTATTGTGCCCCAGAATCAACTAATGCCAACATATACTACTGGTGACAGATTAGAGATCTTGTCTCAAGACAGTGGCATTATTGGTTGCTGGTTCAGGTGCACTGTTCTGAAGTCATGCACTAATCATAACAAATTGAAGGTTCAGTATGATGATCTCCAAAATGCTGACGATAGTGGGAGATTGGAGGTATGATTAATGACTTGAGTTTGAAATTAGGCTAGATTAATAGGTATAACTGAGAAAGACAGAATGCATTAAAATCCCACACACGCACACACCCAATGTCACTATCTACTCTTTTGTGCCTGCATGAAATGTATTATGTATGTTTTGCTAAAAAGGATTAGATTATTTCTTGGTGTATCAATAGGATTTTATATGCCTCTATGCAGGAGATGGTACCTGCCTCTGCATTGGCTCTTCCTGATAAACTGGGACTTAGATGCCAAGACCGACTAAGAATCAGGCCGCGTCCTCAAGAAAATAGTTCTGTTGATGGTGCTTCTCTTTTACCTGGAACTGCTGTTGATGTTTGGCAATTTAGTGGCTGGTGGGAAGGAGTTGTTGTCAGTTTGGACAACATTGTGGTAGATAGCCTTCAAGTATATTTTCCAGGTAAATTTCCAATTGTTTAATTTAATTGATATTCCTATTTGATGCTCTCAAGTTCTCAATGAGAAACAAAAATCTTTCTTGACAAATTAATTGTCTAGAACGAAGAGAGTAGAATCTAGATGGTGCGTACCATGTGCCATTTTCGTACCGTTAGAACTGCAAGTTCTGGGGCATTTCCACCTTTTCATGTATGCTTTTACCGATTCACACATATTAAATCTATTAGGAAATCATGTCCATGTGTGATCTATTGTACAATAGGTAATCATATTGTATCCCACAAATACTAAGTGTTTCTAATAAATTATCATTATTCACCATACATGCATGAAGATGATGAAACTAATGAATTAATGATGTTGTTGCATTACAGGAGAGAACTTTTTCTGTGCATGCCAGCTAAGGAATGTTAGAATCTCTAAAGATTGGGTCAAGAACCGATGGGTTGATATTGAAACAAAGTCAGATGTGTTGTCACGGATACCTTCAGATAGTGTCCGAACAAAGCAAGCTGATAATGCACCATCTGTTGGTGTGATAGACTCCAGCAGTTCTGCAATGCCTGAGCAAGAGCTTGCAGCTACCCAAGCAAACTCCCATGGAGTTAAACCAGTGCCTAAGCAAGAGCTTGCAGCCACCCAAGCAAACTCCAATGGAGAGAAACCAGTGCCTGGGCAAGAGCTTGCAGCTACCGAAGCAAACTCCAATGGAGATAAACGTGTGCCTAAGCAAGAGGTTGCAGCTACCCAAGCAAACTCCAATGGAGATAAACCTGTGCCTGAGCAAGAGCTTGCAGCTACCCAAACAAACTCCAATGGAGATAAACCCGTGTCTGAGCAAGAGCTTGCAGCTACGCAAGCAAACTCCAATGGAGATAAACCTGCGTCTGAGCAAGAGCATGCAGCTACCCAAGCAAACTCCAATGGAGATAAACCAGTGCCTGAGCAAGAGCTTGCAGCTACGCAAGCAAACTCCAGTGGAGATAAACCAGTGCCTAAGCAAGAGCTTGCAGCTACCCAATCAAATTCCAATGGAGATAAACCTGTGCATGAGCAAGAGCTTGCAGCTACCCAAGCAAACTCCAATGGAAATAATAAACAAACAGAAGCAAGTAGGCAATCCGAGGTTAGTATGACTGATGAAGCCTCTGCTTTTGTAGAGGATGACAAGCAAACAATTCTAGGGAAGCATCCCAGGGATGTTAGTATGACTGATGAAGCCTCTGCTTTTGTGGAGGATGACAAGCGAACAATTCTATGGAAGCATCCCAGGGATGTTATATGAGTGATGAAGCCTCTGCTTTTGTGGAGGATGACAAGCGAACAATTCTATGGAAGCATCCCAGGGATGTTATGATTGATGAAGACTCAGCTTTTGTGGAGGATGACAAGCGAACAATTCTAGGGAAGCATCCTAGGGATGAAGGTGATGCTGAACAGAAATGCAACGGGGAAGTAGGTGTAGATGTTAGCAAGACATGATGTAGTGTACATAGCTATAGATATGGTAATTGAAACCCCCAATGGCGGGGTTTTACTACGCTGCTGATATCAGAGCGTATTGTCGCCTCTTTTGCCATACACAAACCTCTCCTAGTTTTCTTATTTTGCTGGTAGTTGTGTTTATGTTAAGAGACACATGGATTGCAAGCTGAATGGTACCCTTTTCAGGCGCGGTTGTATAGCAATCTATATGATTTTTGATCTGTCAGTGTTTTCTGCTTGAGTACAGTTCAATCCGCCTCAGTCAGTTAACTTCGTTCCTTTTTCAGAATGAAATTATTGCCCTTCCTCGCTTGTATTGCAATTTTTATATGGGTATCTACACTGGCGCGGTCTGGTGTGTCTACATTTTGGTACTTTGATGATTCTTGCAAGTCGATCATGATGATCCGTTCTGCTCGCTATGATGAGCATCCTGCCATCCCATGAACTGCAGCTGCGCATGTTGATCTGAAGAGGTTGCAAAATGAGAGCGTTTTTTCACTCTCAAAGTCATGTGCCATCTATTTGTGGCATGGGCATCCTGGATCTGAACTTACCCGTGCTAGAAGTCAGGAAAGCCATGCCATGATCTCATCATTTTGATTTTCTGGTACGTTGGGCCTGAGGTCCCATCTGCACGAGGCGCATCACATATTCACATGACGGACTTTGGCCTCCCCTGTTTTCCTTCACATACATGCAAACTCTGTATCTTGCCATGAAGGACAGGGCCATCTCAGTATCTCACTACATATATGGGTGTCAGGTTTGTACATGGTACTAGTAGTATATGGTACAGCGTACATGTCTACTGACTAGCTGCTTGCTACACTATCTGCACTGAAGAAGACTGGAGAAGTTGCCGCAGGATCTACATACAGCTCGGACCATTGCTCGCCGTCGACGAAGCTCCGACCGAGGAACGGATCAGATCTACAGCCTGAGCCACTGCTCGCCGTTGACGAAGCTCCGGCCGAGGAACGGCCGCGCCTCGTCGTAGGTGAGCGACCGGGACCAAGGCATCCGCTGCCTCGTGCTCGCCCCTGGGCCCTTGCAGCTGTACTCCCCGAACAGCACCGTCCTGTCCAAAAACGACCCCAGAAATGTCACTCTCTGACGAGAAGTCTAGCAATGTGCCGGATCATTTTCGTCAGGTTTGGAAGACCCGGCAGGTAACAAACAGGCGAGTCACATGGTAAACTAACTGCGTTGCATTTCCCTGTAAAGACCGTTTGGTGAGCCTGTCCTGCTAGGCAACCACCTACCTACTTCCTACAATCTCATCATCATCACCACCACCACCACCAGGTTAACAGTAAAACCAGCTCGGTAACTGTAATTTCATCTACAGCTACAGCAGTGAAGAAGGTAACAAACAGGATGGAAAGGTACAAGAGACTAAGAGAGAAGGAAGCGTTGCTCACTTTGTTCTGGAGCGGTCGCCCCAGTCGCTCCAGCCCTGGGGCACGACGATGCCGCTGAGGTCGCAGTAGGAGTAGACCACCCGGGCGTAGCGGCCCCACGCCCTGCCCAGGTACAGCATGCCGGAGCCGGTGAGCCTGCACCCCACGAACGAGAACCCGGAGTCCTCCGCCGGTGAGCTCCGCTGCGACGCCGCGATCGCGCCGTAGCTCGTCGCCACCGCGTGCAACGTGCACCCCTGCGCGCGGTTAACCGTTGGAACGTTCAGAAATCAAAAGCCAGAACCAACAAGGGATCCGTCGCCCTCACTGCCACTTGGCCTCGAGGATTTGCTTCGGGTGTTGTGTTACAGTTGTGTGCCAGGGCACGAAAGGAATGTGACCACTGGATCTTATAGGACTTCGAGCATGGATTTGTGTACGAGTGATGCAAGCGTCGTGCAGGGCTAAGTGCCTAACGACCTGGTTCCACTGAGCCGGCTAAGGTAACCTATGTGTGCCACAGGCTAGCAACAGAGAAAGTGAGAAACGAAAAGTTGGAGCAGTTCTTGCTGCAAGACGACTATGAAATGGCAGGCAGGGTTCGTGAGTGCCTGAATTGTGATTTTCTGATAGCAACCCGGCAGCACCCATCAAAGGGATGGGATGGAACTGCAAGGCATGGAGATGGGAGGCTAATGATGTCACCATAAAACCAGTAGTGTGGTCATCAAAACAGGACAAAGTGTTTAGGGGGGGACAGAAATGTCTGAATATCAGAGATTGAGTGTCTCTCTCTCAAAAAAAAAAAATGCTTACACGTCAGCGGTAGAAAAGAAAAGAAATTCAACAAATTCGTTTTTGTTAAGTACCGTACCTTGTACAGGGACCTGGCGTTCCCGAAAATGAAGTCGATGGAGCCCTGGATGTCGCAGTTGTAGAGGAAGTGGCGGCCGATGTTGTCGAACAGCGTGTCCTGCGTCCCCAGGATCCTGCACCTGTACAGCATGGTCTTGTCGCCGGACAGCCGCAGCGCCACCGCCTGCTGCCCCACGGCCCCCGGCGGCGCCGGCGGCGCGGAGTTCTGCACGCGGGTCACGGAGAGGAGAGCACGCAACGCACCCGTGTGGATCGTCAGAGGATGGACATGGACCCGATCACGTACGACGGCAGGCAGAGCGCGACGGCGTGCACGCACGCACGTACGTACCTCGAAGGTGATGTGGCTGGCGCAGAAGTAGTCGGCCTCGACGGCGACGGAGGCGGAGTAGAAGGTGCCGACCTGGTGGCCGGAACGGTGGTCGATGTCCGACGCCCTGGCGTTCCACGTGATCACCGTCCGGCCGCTGCCCATGCCGATGAGCGACACGAACGGCTTCGTTATCGGCACCGTCACCTTCTCCCTGCACCCACCCGCCGCCATTGTTGCACACCTTAGTTTTGTAATAACTTCTTGCACTTCACAATACACGAACTTTTTTAGTACGCGGAATAAACTAGATGCATTACCAGAGTTAAGGTAGCAATATATGCACAAATTTAGCACATGCCTCATGCCTGTACTGCATAAAAATTGCGGTTCACAAGCTAGACATTGCTGCGCCGAGTTGCTTTCAAGTTTTATTAAACCCTGACAGAAAAATGGAAAAATGCTACTAGTAGTAGCAAACTGAATGAACTGGTTGCGCAAAACATGCAAAGCAAAACAGGAAAAAGGACGGAAAAGGGGTTGGGAAAGTTTGCAGCTAAGACGAGTCCAAGAGGCAAGCTAGAGAGGGAGGCGATCGAGCACACGTCGTGATCACTTAATACCCCCATTAACGCCGAGGCAGTTACTAGTACAAGAGAAGAGAGGCGGTAGTGGAGGCATTCAGGCATAGCAAGCAGTGCGGCGGCGGCGGCGGGCGGCGGGCGGCGGCGATCAGCCAGGCAGCCAACGCGACGCAACGCACCTGTACACGCCGGGCCTGACGAGGATCTTGACGCGGCGGCGGTTGCCGGCGGGCACCATGTCAACGGCGCCCTGCACGGTGCGCGAGTGCCCCGCCCCGTCCTGCGACACCACGATCGTGTCCAGGTCGCGGGCTCCGCCCCTGCTGGCCGCCTTCACGCCGCCGCCGCCGCCGCCCACGGCGCCCTGCACGGCGGCGGCGGGCGGGATGCTGAGGTCGTCCCACGTTATGAATGACCCGTCCGCCGCCGCCGCGGACGACGCGAGGACGACGACGGGCAGGGGCAGGACCAGGAGGATGTACATGGCGGCCGCGCAGCAGATGCAGCGGCACCGCCTGCTGCACCCGGCGGCGGCGGCGACCATGGCCACGTCCCACGGCACACTGCACACACCCGGGTCGGTCGGGGGCGTCGCGTCGAGTAGAGAGCTAGCCAGGTGATGCTGATCGCAGCACGTGACGCCTAGCGCGGAGCTCGTAACAGCTAGCTGCTACAGTTTAGCTCGGGAGACGGCCGGGGAGGGAGGTGATCAGTGCTGGTCAGCGGTCAGGGAATGAGATGATATATAGGGCTAGCGCGAGCCGACCGGCCGGGGCTGTGATTGTGTGGCGCCGCACGCTGCGTTGCATGACATGAGCCCTGAGTGGGGTGACGACCGACGACGACGAAGATCCCAGGGGAATGGGGGAGGACGGAATGGGATGGGATGCGAGACGTTGGAGGCGTGGAGGCGTGAGGAGGAAGTGGTGGCGGAATTGAATACGAGGCCGCGCCTGCTCGTCTAGCGCTACCGAACGCAGGAAAGGCACGTCGGTTCGGCGCGCTGGAGCGCAAGATTCAGGGCGGAAGTCCGTGGTGTTGTGTGCACGGCTTCCGGGCTTCGGCTACGCTAGGGGACGTGTTTTTTCGTGTCAAGGGACCGGAGCCCGGAGGCACGTCCCGTTCACGGCATCGTTGGCAATGGCAACTGACACTTCGCGTGCACGTAGTCCGTAGACAAGAGAGGGTGCTACTGCTAGCTAGCTGCTTTCCCGTGGCAGTTTGCGACGTTTTCCATGCAGCGGATTGCAGGCAAGCAGTGCTCGGCATTCCGTGTGTGTGATTATTTTTGGAGCCGTGGTGAGATGGAAGAAAGGTTGGTCACGCGAGGGAAACGACCATTTGTTTAGATTTTGCTCCAGTGGGGGGCTTGCATTCCGTGTTGGGATTTCAGATCGAGGAGGAATGCCGGACGGAGGTGGTTAGCGATTGTTTGGTTCAGAGCGGTTGGGGTGCAGTGCAGTGCAGAGTGCAGGCGTGGAGCTCTGCTCAACACGTTCCCCTCTTCACCACATCCATTCCTCATCCTGCTCAAGTGCTCAGCTGCGGTTCTTGTCTTTGACTAGCCATGGGTGATGCCGTTCATGGGTACATGCGTTTCTTGTCCCCTCGTTTCGGAAAATGGTGATCTGCGACGAGTCAGCGTCAGTGCCGGCTCCTCAAAGAGTGGATTAGGCGGAGGCGCAACATGTCTCGGACCTAACAGCTTTCATGATCTTCCGTCAGATGGTCAAATCCGGTTGGGCTTCTTTGACGATTATAGGTGGTCGTCGTCTGGGCGTGTTCGTGTAATCGTGTTGGGTCAGATTTGAGGGTGCCAGCGCTTTCGTTAGTTTTCAGGAATGGAGTCAGCGTCTGCACCGTCTCAGGGTCAGTTTTCTGTAGTTAGTGCCGTAGTGGCATCAGTTAAACCTAGAAGTCTACAACTCAATCAGCAAACGAGGTCCTACCCTGGTGGCCTGGTCAGCTGGTCGTGCCTGAGCAATGGACTGAGTTGCAGTTTTTCTGGCTATTCCTATTCCTGTTTTCTGGTTTTCATTTTTGTTTCAGAAGAAGAGAGCTAAGAACTCGCAGGCTTGCAGAGTAGCACTTTTGCGTGTGCCAGGTTCGTTGGGCCTTGTAGAGCTTTAGGCCCATTTCGGCCCATGGACTGATTGGAGTTGGAGACACCGACACCGGTCATCCCCCTCATGTTCTGTGGACATCTAACCGAGCCCAAAAATTCTTACCTCAACATGTTCAGGGTACAGAGTACACGTGAGTAACACAAGACCAATATGGACAAGGAGAGGCAAATGCAACACCCTTTAGCATCTACTTACTGGTAAACCAAGATGACAAAGACAAGGCAACTTCGAATTGTTGTGGCGCTCAGACTTTGCAACATTTACAGGAACATAACGTGCCTTTCATTCAGATGTTCGTCTCATGGACCGGGAAGCCGTGAGCACCTTCAGCCTACCAGCTCCACCCTCCCAAATGCTCGTCCTGTTCGGCTGCTCCTCTCCTGCAAGATATGTAGCATGTTCGCTTGCTTGTAAACGATCGTAAATTTCCAGCCGAGAACAGTGTTTTTCTCTCACACCAAACCAGCCAGCAGTAAATAATCCACGATACGATACTGCCTCCCGAACAGGCTGATGATCATAGACTAATGAAATTCAACGACTATCCTCCCAACGTAGACAGCTCAACCAGCTCAAAACTATAAGATTCAATGGGCGTTGCTTCAAACTGATGCTGTGATGCAAGCAGGGTTACATGCAAATCAACATATAGAACATGAATTCGAGCTAATGAGTGACTCGGTGTAGCAACCAAAGTTGCTGAGGAAATCATGGAACACTGTTTACACCAGATCTTACTCATTCTGCTCTAGTATCGATTCATAAACAAATAGGAACTTCGCATCATTCACATTTATGAATATATAATAATCCACACATTCACTTTTCGTAATTGCTGACAGATAGGAGCAAGCGATAACTCACTGAAAATACCAAGCAGCACCAATCTAGATATACCAGGTACTTTGCATAATTACAAGGGCACCATATCAAAAATTGCTATAGGAACTTTCTGTTCGGATGACAATTTTGCAGTACAGATACCTACAGTTTCCCTCTTTCTGTCAGATAACCACCTACTCTTTTTTGTTGGTAATTTACCACCAAATCTTCTTCCCTTGTTTATACATTAAGTGCAATTTATTATCTGAAAACTGGAAACTAGGAGACTTTCAAACTTCAAGACGGCTACCAAATTGAAATAATGTGTGTGTTTTCGAAGTACAAAAGTATTTGCAGTAAAACAATAGTACAGGTTGTCAACTGAACTCTCCTCTTGTCTGTGAGAGTTAAGCCTAGTGCTTTCTCTATGTATCTTACTATTCCTTGTCATTTTGTTTCGGCTGTTGTAAGCCTAGTATTAGGAATATGTTAAGCATCCACTTTAGTGGTTAGAATATACTGTAGTAGACCAGCTGCTCTATAAGTAGCAGTGGTGCTGGACCTTCTTGTATCCCAAGTTTGCACTTTCAATTTCAACAAGCGGCCTAGTGCCAAGCTGCCCTCTGGCAGTTCCAAATCTGAGACTCTATTGTGTGGTTCCTGGCCAACAGTCTGGTACATGAACATGATCAATTTTCAGAATTGAGAAACTGGGATTTCAGTATTCAATGAAAAAAACCTGCCAATGAGGGAAAGGACAATGAGGGACCCATACCATTAACATAAATGGAATCTGTGTTCAGATGAGATATAACTCATACTACCACGTATAATATGTCTCAAACTTTGATTTTAGTTGCAGCACTGGACTCAGAAAAGTAAACATGTGCAGCAGTCTGCAGGAGCAGTAACTATATTACATATATTCTTCATTAACTTCCGAAGGTTACAATATGATGCCACTTTATTGGTGATCATCAGAACGAGAGATTGCTCACAAGTCACAAGGCAAACCAAGCATAAATAGGCAAAATATTGCCGCCTAGGTTTGTACTACATATTCGGAAGGTGCAAACATATAGGTTTGCACTACATATATGTTTGAAAAACATTTTGCTGCATCAATTGATGACACATCCTAAAAAAGGAGAAAACATTCAGACGTAGTCACTAAAGTTCGCAAATAGACCAGACAGTTCATACCTAATTCTTATTCCAGGATTGCTCAATCTCAGGCCTATGGATTGACATGCGAGCAATCTCAGATATAGCCGCATCAGTAGCAAGTGTATCATCACCAGCAAGCTCCTCATATGCAGCCTCAAATGCTTCTTGCCAGAACCGTGGAAGCCGTACATGATTATCTGTGCGTGTGTACACATCCCACATCCGGCGCACTAGCTTTTCCCTTTGCTCCATCTCCTGTTCAACCCACAGTTAGGAAAATTTCAGTCTTGTCTTCACAGCCCAGGAGCATGAGTGCATGACAAAAGAGATGTTTGTCTAGTCTAGCTGAAACAAATTTAACCACCTTGCAAGCAATGGAGACTTAAGTAGTTAAGTTCATGTAAGTGTAGCTGTTTATTAACAATTTAACACAGTGCTAATCGTCCTGAAATTGACAAATACTGTAAGGGCAGATGAGCTCAGTGATAACCTGAAAATTACCTGATACCTCCCACTTTTTCCTGACTTAGACTAGATTTATCTTGTAAACAATCACCAATTTAACCTACGCTGTCAAATCTAGAACTATAAGTCTGTAATGACAGAAAGCTCTTGGCACGCATTTACATTTTACACGTTGGAAGTCATGAAGAGGGTGAACAACCAAAGTAAGCGGCGAGATCTAGGAGAGAAAGCAAGGGAATGGATTGATGAGCCGTACGAGGGGGTCGAGATCGTCGATGAGCGGATCGCTCACGTCCCCGAACGTGGCGGCGAGCTCCCCGGAGGACAAGCGCAGCGTGACGGAGGCGGCGAACATGGACCAGAGCGCGAGGAGCGCGATGGCGGCGAGGGCCCACACCTTGTACCTACCCTTCCCGAACAGCGCCGCCTCGCCGGAAGAGACGGGAATCGAGATCTTGGTCGCTGACGCCGGCGTGGGGGAGTGTAGGCCATGGTGGTGGTGGTTGTGTTCGGCGACATTGACAGACTTCATGGCTCGCTCTGGCCTCCGGGCCTCCGGGGACGCGGTTGGAATCCAGGTCCAGCGACGAGAGTGAAGTGGGAGTGGAGACTGGAGAGACCAGTGAGGAGCCTACAGAGGCTGACAGTGGGCCCGAGTTATTTCCCCCCTGCTCAAACAATTTATGTGGTATCTACCGAGGATGACAGTGGGCCCGAGTTATTTTTTTCCCTGCTCAAACGGATTTGTGTTGTGTTTGATTTGAGGACAAAAAGAAAGTTGGCACCGGATGATCCTATGTGTTTTTACGAAGGGGACTATATGCCTCTTTGGCACAGCTCCGTGAGCATAGGCTCCTCCATCATAGGCGGAGCTCCACGCTGAAGCCGGTTTTACGTTTATACCAAATGGTTTAATAAGAGGAGCCGTTTAAAGTCTTTTTAATAAGAGGAGCCGTTCTCGTGG